AGTCGGTGTTGTCGCTTCGCTCCGATCGAGGAGGGGAGTTCCTCGGCAAGGCGTTCACAGACTTCGTCGACGGGAAGGGCATCGTCCACGACCTGACGTGCCCCTACACTCCGCAGCAGAATGGGATGGCTGAGCGGGAGATGCGCACGGTCGTCGAGTCTGTGCGGACGATGCTGCTGCACATGGGCGTGCAGCATCACTGGTGGCACCTTGCTCTTCGACAGGCGGTCTGGGTGCGCAACTGCTTGGAGCGGTCGACGACGCCGCCGGGGACGACTCCGTACCAGCTGCTGACCGAGACGAAGCCTGACCTCTCGCTGGCGCGGGTGTGGGGCTGCATGGTGCAGTTCATGGTTCCTGAGCAGCAGCGCGGTGGGAAGCTGGCGCCGAAGGCTCGCTGGGGGCTTCACCTGGGTGTGTCGCCAGAGAGCAAGGGCTGGGAGGTGCTCGACCTGACCGACAACAAGGTGGTCACGTCGGTCGAGGTGATCTTCTACGAGACGCTGTCGCTTGAGGTGTGGAAGGCGAAGTATGGGCCGGCGTCGGAGCGGACGCAGGCGCACCCGCCGACGGACACCTCGACGGCGACGATTCCGTTGCTCGCCGAAGTCGACGAGCCTGCTGTTGAGGATGTTGTGGAGGTTCTTCCCCCTCCCCCTGTCCTTGCTCCTCCGTTCCCCGTCGCAGATCGGCCTGGGTCGGCACCTGTGTCGACCACTGACGATGAGGGGAGCCTTGACGCGTCACCTGTGGCGCCGGCCCATGGCATCGCCGGCGTTTGACAAGGCGCCAAGCTCGTCGACCAGGATGGGAAGCCGTCGGCGACAGGGGAGCCGGTCGAACAGGAGGCAACAGCAGCGGTGCAGCCGACAGGGGAGCAGCAGCGGGGGCGGTCGACAGGGGAGCTGTCGAAGTCAGCAGCAGACGAGCAGCCGGACGACGGGTCGAAGCAGCTGGTCGACGACGAGGACGTCGACGAGGAAGGGGAGCAGTCGGCGGGTGAGGAGTCCACCGAAAGCGACGTGGTGGAAGTGCCGATCACGAAGCCTGAGCTGCGACGCACAGGTCGAGCTCGACGGCCACCGGAGCGGCTGAGCTTCCACGCCTGCCCACCGCCAGCTGCCTTCACCACGGTGTTCGACGAGGCGACGACCTGTTGTACGACGACGCCGAGGAGGATGAAGACCTGCGGAGCTCGACCCCAACATGTATGCCGACCCCGAACACCGCTGGGACATCGCCACGATGACGGTGAAGGAGGCGATGTCGAGCTGGAAGGGCGAGGCGGTGAAGGCCGCCATGGAAGAAGAGATTCGCAGCCTCATCGGCATGGGCACTTGGGAGTTGGTCGAACGCCCACGTGGGGTGAACATCATGAAGAACCGATGGGTGCTGACGACCAAGTACCGCATCGACGACACCGTCGAGCGCGAGAAGGCGAGGCTGGTCGTGAAGGGCTTCACGCAGGTGTACGGTGCCGACTATGACGAGACGTACTCGCCGGTGAGCAGCTACGTCACGCTGAGGATCTTCCTCAGCATCGTCGCCGTCCTCGACCTCAACCTGATGCAGCTCGACATGAAGAACGCTTTTCTGCAGAGCAAGCTCGACAGGGTGCTTTACATGTACCAGCCGGACTACTTCGACGATGGGTCCGGCCGGGTGTGTAAGTTGATGAAGAGCCTCTACGGGCTGAAGCAGTCGCCGCTGCTGTGGTACAGGGCTCTCGACAGTGTGCTGCTGGGCGCTGGCTGGAAGAAGAGCCAGGTCGACGAGGCGCTCTACTTCAAGGCCGGCCACGACGGAGTGACCTGCTGGGTGCTGGTCTACGTCGACGACCTGCTCGCCGCCAGCAGCAGCACCGCGATGCTGAAGGAGCTGAAGGAGCTGCTGGAGGCCGCCTTCGAGCTGCGTGAGATCTCGCCGGTGGTGAAGTACCTTGGGCTGAAGATCGTGCGCGACAGGCCGGCCAGAAAGCTGTGGCTGCACCAGCAGGGCTACGCCGACAAGCTGCGCAGGCGCTTCATCGACGAGGAGCAGGGCGGTCGAGTCCCGAAGACGCCGGTCTCGGTCGACGCCTACGCTCAGCTGACGTTCGACGACGAGGAGGATCAGGAGCGCGAGGAGGAGGAGTACCGGCAGAAGGTCGGCTCGCTGCAGTTCGCGGCGACGACGACGAGGCCGGACATCGCGTTCGCCTGCAGCAAGCTGGGGAGCGGCCTCACGGTGAGGAGCGACCAGCATTGGCGCGAGGTCGACCGCTGCCTCCCCTACCTCGCCGACACCCGCGACACCGCCCTGGAGTTCGGCGGTGGACCAGAATCGTTGGAGCTGATCGGCTACGTCGATGCCGACGACGCGGGCGACAAGCAGAACCGGACGGGAGGCTACGTGTTCGTCTACGGAGGGGCCGCCGTCTCCTGGTCGAGCTCGCGCATCAAGTGCGCGACATTGTCATCGACTGAATCGGAGTACGTGGCGGCCACAGATGCCGGCAAGGAGGGGCGTCGACTTCGCTTCCTCGCGGAATTCAAGCTGCTCGACGCTGGGAAGCCGACCATCCTCCGCGTCGACAACACGTCGGTAATCACGGTCGCTGAGGGCTTGGGGTTGACGGGCAACCTCAAGCACATGGAGCGACGCTACGCCTGGCTGCAGCACATGGTGAGGCGGGGGAAATTCGTGCTGAAGTACATCCCGACCACCGAGCAGCCGGCGGACTTCCTGACGAAGGCGCTGCATTTTCCGGCTTTCAACCGGTGCTCTGTCGCCATCGGCCAAGTTCGTCTGGCCGACGTCGGCGACGGCGACGACGAGGTGCAGCAGTAGGTGCCGTGCCCTTCTGCACGGCTGGTGCGGTGACGGCGTGCTGTGTGTGGGGTGCACGCCGAGGACGAGTTTTCTCCGTGGAGAACTACCGTGTGGGCCGGAGGCCCAAGTGTGGGCGCGGCAGGGGAGTGTTAACGGGAATGGAGTGTTGGCCCCGCCCTCGCTTGGGCAACGCCGACGACTTGGTCGGATGTACGGGAGTAGCAGCCGACCGTTCACAGTGGGAGAGCTGCTCGACAGGCTTCGTCGAGCTGCAGGGGACCGCTGTGGTGTTGTTGTGGACCAGGGAGCTCGACAGCTGCAACTGACTGGTCTGGGAGACGGGTGGGACGTCGACCAGGACCTGCAGCTCGACCGGGAGGTCTCCGGAGCATTCCGTCGACCTGCAGCTCGACCCGGAGGTCTCCGGAGCATCCCGTCGACCTGCAGCTCGACCGGGAGGTCTCCGGAGCATCCCGTCGACCTACAGCTCGACCGGGAGGTCTCCGGGGCATCCCGTCGACCTGCAGTTCGACCGGGAGGTTGACAGAGCAGTCTTTCGACCTGACAAGAGAGCAGCGGTCGACGAGGGGAGCTTGGCGACAACCACTGACTGTTCCGGTCGACGGAAGGGGTCCGTCGACCAGGGGGTAGCTCGACGGGAGTTGTGGTCGACCAGAGGCACCTGGTGGTCGACCAGAGGGACCTGGTGTTCGACCAGAAGCAGTGGTGGTCGACCGGAAACACCTGGTGGTCGACCGGGTCGACCGGGTAACCTGCTCGACGAGTTCTGCGGAGGCACGCGAATGTCGTCGAGGTTGCGATGGCGCAGGCGACTGCGGGCTGGTATCCCGGAGTCGATGTGGCTCGTCAGGCGCAGACAACAGCCGGCGGATGCCCAACGAGGCAAGTCGAGCCAATCGTCTGCGCGCATCTGTGAGCGTGCGCACTGCTGTGTTCTACGGGGCAACGCTGGACAGCCGCTCTGCTGCAGCGTTGGCACGCCGTCGACCTGCTCTGTTGGCAGGTCGCCCTTCTGCAGTGCTGGCGCGGCTCCTCTACGCAACGCTGGCAGGCGGTCGACCGAGCTGCGCTGGCAGTCGACCAGGCTAGCAGCAGGGTTGCTAGGTGCCTGATGTAGTCATTGTTGTCATTGCTTGTTCAATTATTCTGTAATTCCAACTTTGCTAGTGGAAACTCTTGCCGATTTCTCCCGTGAATGTGCAAGCACTAAGGAACCAAGCAAAGCTACGATCACCTCTAGTAGTTCGTGCCAACCCCCGTAGTCTAGCTCACTACCATTGTAGGGTGACTCTCCGCAAGTGCTTCTGCCAGGAGTGGACACGTGTCTGCACCTCATTGGCCCCTACATACCCGTACACATGTGAGGCCCAGCTTTGGGGCGTAAGGGAGTGACGCTAAGGGGATTTCCCTGGGGGGAGTGGCCTGAAGGGGATGCATTGAGGGGAGATATATGTGCATGTGTGGCAGCCCTTTCGTCTTGCTTCATCCGCTGCCCAATCAGTGTAGCTCCGCTCCTTGCGCCATACACCCATATGCCCTGCGTGCTTGCTCCACGTGCCACCCATCCCCTTGCCTTAACTCCTCATCCTCACATGCTCTGCCATCCCCTCTGCCCCCACACTACACCTTCTCAATACCCCTGCACTACACGTCCTCTGCAGGCACTGCAAGCACATTCTCTTTCAGCATCCTCCCGTCTTTGAGCCCTGCACACCACAACCTGAGCCACAACCTGAGCCACAACCTGCCGACCCACAACCTGCCGAGCCACAACCTGCCGACCCACAACCTGCCGAGCCACAACCTGCTGACCCACAACCTGCCGAGCCACAACCTGCCGACCCACAACCTGCCGACCCACAACCTGCCGACCCACCACCTGCCGACCCACAACCTGCCGACCACCACCTGCCGACCCACAACTTGCCGACCCACAACCTGCCGAACCACAACCTGCGGAGGCACAACCTGCCGAACAACAACCTGCCGAGCCTCAACTCACTGAAGGGCAGCAAGTAACACAGAGTGTGCTGCGAGGGTTTGCTGGGTTGACAGGTGACAGGGAGCAGAGTGCTGATGGTAGCTTGTGCGGCCAGGACCCACAACCACTACTGCCACCGGCCATCCCCCCTGACCCATCAGCAGCAGACAGCGGGGCGGGTACTACAATGCCAGTGCACTTCCACCGAGGCCTCTACCACCACGTGCTGCCCTCCCTTGCCTGCTCTCCGCCCTCCACTCCCCCCACCACTGCGCTCGCCACTCCCACCACAAGTACGCTCGCCAACCCTTCCATCATTACTGCAGTGCGCCCCCCCACCTCACTGCACCACTCGCAGCACGCATCTCCCCTCTCTCACAGCGACCAGCCACAGCAGCCTTCCGATTTCCACCACCCCTCTCATCAGCAGCACCGGTCCTGCCACTGCCACGCGCTGCTCTTCCTCCCGAACGCGGGCCTGCCTGCCTTCCCCTCCTGGCGAGACACGCTGGTGAGTGGGAAAACAAGAGGGAGGGAGGGGGGCTGGGTGGGTGGGATGCATGGCTGGTTGTGGAAGGAGGAAAGGAGGTGAAGCAGGCTCGTGAATGCAGCAAGGGTCAGCAGCTGGGATGACTGGTGGCAGTACCACCCATCATCACACCACACCACACCACACCACACCACACCACACCACATCCTCCCAGTGCTCACATCACACCGCCCTGGGCCACCCTGGCCCCCCCTTCTGTGCTGCCCCCTCCCAGATCCTCATGCTGTGTGGAGTGCTGTGCTGCCAGCACTCATCGCGGCCCACAGCCACGAGGCAGCACAGCGAGCCACAGAGAAAGAGAGGCACCACCTGTCCTCTGCTCCACCCCATGCTGCCCCCCTCTTCTCCCCACGCCTCGTGCTGCAGCATGGGCTACCTGCCAGCACTCATCACGGACGTCAGCCAGCCACAAGGCATGACTGTGGCCTGCGCCACCCGCTCCCTCCCAGTCCTCGCGTCACACCACCCTGTTCCCTCACCCATCTTCCCCTCGCCAGACCCTCATGCTGCGCCAGAAGCTCCCAGCGCTCAGCACGGATTACAGCTGTGAGGCAGCAGAAAGAGCCAGGGAGGCACTCTGCTCGCTGGCTGCTGATGTGCAACGCGGCGGCAAGGGAGGGGTTGCTGCGGCTGCAGTGCTGCAACCTGTCATAAGCGAGGTAGGGTAGGGGGGGGTGTCAAAAAGAATGCTGTCAGGAACCAATTGTAGTGAACATTGGAAGAAGAATTGCGGATTAGATTGGAATGGAAAGGGGTGTGCATAGTTGTGAGAAGAAAAGGTGAGAACCTAGTCAACATCATTGACCCCCACCAGTTTGCTGGTTTAAGAAATCCTTAGACTTTTCGTTAGTATCTTTTCTCAATGGTGAGCCAAGATGATGGGGGGATCCCATAGTCCCCCAACCCCCTCGGGGACCAAACGAAGCAGCCAAGGTTGGATTTCCAATCCCAGGCACGGTACTTCTAGTGATGCATCCCATCCCCGATCTAGTCCATATAGGACATGTGCATGAGACAAGAGAAACGAATTGCTAACAGCCAATCCGTGCTTCATGTCCCTCACCACACTTCCCACCCCTAACCACTCCTCGCATTGTCCCTCCTTACCCTTCTCTCCTCTCACCACCACCACCTCGCCTCACTGCTCTCACCACCCCTTCTGTTGTCCCTCTAAACCCCTCCTATTCCCTCACAGCACCCTCTCCCCTCTCTCCTCGCCGCACACCATGGCAGGTGTATCTGCACCCCTTCCGCATACCCTTCGCCCATCTAAGTCCAGCCTCGCGCTGCCCTCCTTGCCCAACTGCTTCTACTTCACTCTCACCTTCCGGGTTGCAACCACTGGTGCTGATGCACGCGCTAAAGAGATGAGTGCATGACCAACTGCATGCTTACTGCTGCCCTCTCTGCCCAACTGCTTCTACTTCACTCTCACCTTCCACACTGCACCCACTAGTGCTGATACATGCTCTGCAGAGATGAGTGCATAGGCAGCTGCCACAACAGCTGTAAACTAAACTGACAAAATATTGTTATCTTACTGTTGCTCATAATGTGTTTATCGAACGCATTGAACTTATCTACCAGCAAATGTTTCAACCTTTTTTTGTAGTGCCATACCAACCAAGCATGATTATCCAAAGTTATTTTGTGATAATGCTCTTTCCCAGCCCAACTAAGAGGCTATTTCACACGGCCATTAGTTGCTGGATGACCTTGGCAGGCCATAAGTTTAGATTTTAGGCAAACATTATGCTATGCGGATGGATCAGCCCTGGTCTTACATGAGTATGGATATGAGACAACCGGTACCATGCCCTTTAATACAGCTATGAAAGTTCTTCATCGGTCTCATCGAGGGCTTCAGATTCGTTTTGGGCCACCCTTAGTAATCAGGGTTCTAGGTATAGTCAACCCTGATGCGTAGGGTATTTTGTTTTTTCCCTGAGAAATTCAGGGTAAAAAAACTATAAGTCTGTTTGGGCAGGGTAATTTCTTTGGTACACTATATTATGTATAAATAAAAGCCAAAGTTGTCCAATTCAACACTTAGTGGCTCAGTTGGTACGATTGTGTATTAGATCTGTTGGAAACAAGTGATTTAAGCGCTTCTGTTGTGTCGAAACACTAAGTCGTAAACGAAGCGAAGCACAACGAAGCATCGGCGAGTCAACCATCGGAGGTCAAAGAAGAAAAGTAACTGCTGGAGGTTACGCAAAAGTCAAAGGTCAGCGACCTTTGACCTGACAAATACAGCGCGACAGCAAGGACAAACAACTGACTCGGTATTGAGCAGTTGCCCGAGTCGTCACTATATCGAACCGCAACAGCAACAGTAAAACGGTTATTAGCTCTATCTCTTCATATTCCTTGTACTCTTATAAAACCCTTGTATCTCCTTGTTTTAAGTAATCTATCTTGCCCTCACATACTAGCGCAAGGTGGTTTAATACTTATCATTATAACGCTTCCGCAACTACAACATTCCTACTCTGAGTTTAGCCTTGCAAAGATCCTAAGGGCTTTTCTCAGCCCAACATGGTATGAGAGCTAACAAGGCAAAACTCCACTTCGTTCAAACTCCTACAATATCGGAAGGCATGGCAACACAGAAGGAGAGAAGCTCCTCTAATGGCTCTCCCGGTACTACTCCTACTCCACCTCCAGCCTCTGGCCTGCAGACAGAGGGAGGTACAGCAACAAGACCAGCAGCTGAGTCTACTGAGACTCCCGCGAATCAAGCGATAGGCTTCGACCCCAGTATGATGGAGAAATTCTTCTCCTTTCATGTCCTTCTACGAGCAGCATCAGCAAACGGCACCTGCGCAATCAAACAACAGCAACAACAACAACGCCGTTACACCAATGAGCCTTGACGGCTCATCCTATGCGCGAGGGAATCAGCAGCAGCAGCCTACCTTTGCTCTGTACGAGCCCCAGCGCGGCTCCATCAGCTTCATGCCGGATCACCAGCCTTCACCTGGACAAGAGAAAACATTGGATGCACTTCAAGTTCATGTCAAGATAGCAAGCAGGAATGGTTGCATTGAATGAAATGTGGGTACAAGTACTAACCCTAATTTTGGGTTGTACCCCATATGGGCTACCCCACTATAGCCTACACAGAACTAACACATATATAGTTTGACACACCCCCATAGGCAAAGTGGGGGAGAACAAGGGGTCACAAGACCAGTCAAGAAAAGCAAAGCAAGCTCGGGGTGGATCACAACGTCACCACACACTCGAGCACAAGCAAAGGGGCCACAAGGCCAGTTCACATGCAGATGTATATATGCAACAACAACAGCACAGTGATCACTACCTAGCAAGAGTAAACATCCAGGTATACATATATAGATCACAGTACAACCAGAGATAACAGCAAGTGAGAAAACGTAGGCACCAGGCCTAGAGCAGTGCAGAAGCGCTGATGATCACCAGCCAGAAGGGCCTTGGTGAACACATCAGCAGTGTTGGCCCGGGTGGGCACGTGAGCGACACGAAGCTGACCACGCTGCTGCAACTCTCGAGCAAGGAAGTAACGGAGAGCGATGTGCTTCGTTCTGTGCTCCAGTCTGTGGTCCTGACACAAGGCAATGGCAGCCGTGTTGTCGACGTACAGAACTGGACGAGAACGAGGCCTCTCTCCCAAGTCAGTCAGCAGGTAGGTAAGCCAGCGTAGCTCCTGTGCAGCCATGGCTGTGGCGTAGATCTCAGCCTCACAACTGGAGCTGAGAACAGAAGACGAGCGAGTAGACCGCCAAGAAACAGAGCCAAAGCCAAGGCTGAACGTGTAACCCTGTGACGACCGCTGCGTAGCCAGATCGTCAACCCAAGAAGCGTCTGAGTGCCCAGTGAGGACAACTGAGCTCCGCCCTCCAAGCACGAGCCCCATGCCCGATGTACGGCACAAGTAGCGCAGTACCCTCTTCGCAGCATCCATGTGCACCTTTCGGTGCCTACCAGGAGCCACGTAGCGTGCCAGAAGGCCAAGAGGGTACGCAAGGTCAGGTAGAGTGCAGGTCATCAGGTACATGAGGCAGCCCACTAGCTCTGGGTACGGGCCACTCGGCTCTACGGACTCGTCCAAAGGTGGAGCTGAGAGCGAGTGGCCTGTAGCCAGAGGAGTGGGCTGTGGCGAGGACCAGGTGAAGCCGAAGCGCTGGAGGACCTGCTGCACCATGTGTGACTGAGTCAGTGTGATGGTGCGGCGTGCTCTGTCCCGGGTGATCTGCAAGCCAAGGTAACTGCGCAGCTCACCCAGGTTTGTGCACGTGTGTCTCTTCTGCAGCTCCGACTTCACCAGGGCGAGAGCCTCAGTGTCAGCAGTGGCAAAGACCAAGTCGTCGACGTACACGAGGATGTAGAACGGTGGCAGTGAAGTGTCGGTGCGCAGAAACAGCGACGGGTCAGCAGTGGAAGGGGCGAACCTAAGAGCCGCAAGCGTCGTCCTCAGTGTGTCGTGCCACTCACGAGGCGCCTGGCGGAGACGGTAGACCGGCCGACGGAGGCTCGACTGGGTACCAGGAGGGAACGACCCAGTGAAGCCAGGTGGGCGGCGCAGCCAGATCTCCTTATGCAGACTGCCCTGTAAGAACGCTGTGCTGAAGTCCAGAGAGTGAAGCTCGTAGTCACGCTGAGCGGCAACGTGCAGCAGCACCCGAAGAGTGGTCATCTTCGGGGTGGGGGAGAAGGTCTAGAAGAAGTCAGCTCCCTCTCGCTGACTGAAGCCTCGTGCAACGTAACGAGCCTTAAAGACAGGCCGAGAACCCGGCGGCCGCTTCACCCTGAAAATCCACATGCCATCGACGATGTTCGCCCCAGGAGGGGGAACCTCATCGACGTAAGTGCCTGTGGACTTCCATGATGCCATCTCTGTGTCCATGGCTGTCTGCCACTGAGAGGAGTACTCACCCGCGATCGCCTCAGCGTAAGAGCGCGGGGTCGGGATGTCTGGGGCATCCGGGTCTCCCTCAGGGGCAAGCAGCATGGCCACGAGATGAGACGCAGTGGCTGCAAGACACTCAAAGTCCTCCTGCCTGTCCTCAAGGACGTCCGTGCCAAGAGCACACTCACCCCCGACGGACGGAGGACAGACAGACTGAGACTCAGCAACAAGACTAGCAGCGAAGTCAAGACGACAGGCAGCAGCAAAGTCAACAAGCTCAGAGACTAAGGCAGACGCAGCAGCAGACTCAAACGACGGGTCAGTGACAACAGTGGCTAGCAGACGCGTGACAGTAGGGTGAGCAGCACGAACCAAGTCGGACTCAGGGTCCTGAACGTTAGGCAGAGAAGACGCAGGAGGAGACGGTAGGGGAACACGCTGTGGAACAGAGGAAGGACAAAGTGCCATAGCGTGCATGCCAGGGACAGGAGGCAGACGCTCACGAGGAACACGACGACCAGTGCGACCAGCGCGAACAGGCGATGCAGGACGAGACGCAGGCTCACGACGCTCTGTAAGCGAGTCTGTCTGCTCAGTGTAAGGAGAAGGAGCAGGTAGTGGTGCGTCGGGCTGTAACGGGAGGCCAGTGGAAGACGGGAGGCTAAGAACCTGGCGAAGCACGGAGTCAGGCGGTGGCAGAGACGACGGTGACGGCGGAGCGAAAAATAGTCACGACGGTGCAGGGCCACCAGTACCAGTAGCTCCAGCGCCTCCAGCAGCTCGAGAACCTCGAGCTCCAGCGCCTCCAGCAGCAGCACCTCCAGCTCCAGTGACTCCAGCAGCAGCACCTCCAGCTCCAGCGCCTCCAGCAGCTCCAGCTCCTCCAGCGGCTCCAGAACCTCCAGCTCCAGCGACTCCAGCATCAGCACCTCCAGCTCCAGCGCCTCTAGCCGCAGCACCTCCAGCTCCAGGGACTCCAGCAGCAGTACCTCCAGCTCCAGCGCCTCCAGCAGCTCCAGAACCTCAAGCTCCAGCGCCACCAGTAGCAGCACCCCCAGAACTGGCACCTCCAGCCTCACGGTCCCCAACTCCAGGGTCGACAGGACCAGCGCCAGGGCCTCCAGCAGCAGCACCCCCAGAACCGGCACCTCCAGCTCCAGGGTCTCCAACGCCAGGGTCGACAGCACCAGCTCCAGGGCCTCCAGCCCCAGTACCTCCAGCAGCAGCACCCCAAGAGCCGACACCTCCAGCTCCAGGAGCAGTACCAGTCCCGGCAGCTCCAGTACCTCCAGTACAAGCACCTCCAGGACCAGAGACACCAGCACTCCCAGCGCCTCCACGACAAGTAGCTCCAGCAGCACGACTCCTCAGGCGGGTACGCGACGCAAGCCACTCTCGTGCCTGATGTGGTGAGACAGGCCCGCGTAGTGAAACGAGATCCAGAGGAACGCCAGCAGACTCAGCACCCCCAACTCCAGGGTCGACAGT